TCGTCTTGTCAGAGTCCCTGATCAGGTCGCAGGCTGCCTTGTCCGCTCCTGCCTCCAACAAACGCAGCGCCGCAAACTGGTTAACGTAGGCCATGTTGGCCAGGGCCAGGCAGGCCTATCCATTCCCCCGATCGAGCAGCGGGTACGGTGAGCCGGTTTTGTGCGGCGGTATACCCCCCGGGAGGTTTCCAGCGGCAGAAGCGGTGGCGCAGGGTATCGATTCGAAGGTGAGCAGGAGATGCGGAGGAAAATAGAAGGACGAGCGTATCGGAAGAAAACCGTCGGAGCTTTTTCTCGAAGGGCTGAAAAACAAAGACACGGGTCGTATCGCCCGTCTATTATTCGGTTGCAACCCGGCTTCGTTCTTTGATGTTCAACATGTAAACTCCACTACACGTAGTATTAAATGTATGATAGACCAAGCGACACATAAGTCCCCTCCTCCCTCTCCCTGTTCAGATTTTTCCATCTCTCCCTATCTCTTGAACAGTATAGACACCGTTGGCGTGGTTCTCAACGGGTTTTTAGAGTGGTCTTATGGCTTTCGAGGCGCACGTTCTTAAAAACATGGCCACGTTCCGGGGACCTCGTTCTTTTCCTACTGTTACTGGCGTATTGTCATTGGTGAGCCGGTTGGCGCGGACGGTTCTATAGAAAGAAACACACACAAACATGCAGGAGAGGGTCCAACCACCCCCTCCTATGTGACCCCGGTTGGGTCGTCTAGCTGGTAGAAGTGGAGGATAGGGGCCAGAGGGGCAGACGACAAAGTCCAATGATGGGAGAAAAAAGCACACACACACACACACACACACACACACACACACACACACACACACACCACTGCCCGCGGATGGGATCAACTTGTTTCGCTTCACCTGAACCAGCACCACTTCGTTGTCTAGGGCGTCCATTATTGTGATGGTTGGGAGAGTTGCGCCGCACTCCTCCACAAGGCCTCGATTCGCGTCGCTTCGGTAGGTCATGTTCACGAGCGCGGTAAGGGCTTGTCCGATCACCTGGAAAGTTGGCGATGTTGTGGGCGTTGCATGCTGTGGGTTGATACTAGTGTTGTGGTGGACGTTTGTGTTCGTCAGTTTCTAGGGGTAGGATCAAGTGTCTTTCAAGCTTGGGAGGATGATTCATGCATGCGAGCATCAACATCATCGTACACAACCACCAGCACCAACATACCGACCGCAACGCGACAGACAACGACATCAACGACGATCAAAACAACCACACCCACCACCAACAACCATCAACACCCATCAACACCAACACCACAACAATCGAAAGCGTAGATCAGAACCTGTTCGGTGACGCGGTCCTCTCGTCTGAAGCCCTCGAGGAGGCGCACCATGGCCGCGACGCCGCCCTTGGCCGCAATAATTGCTCTGTTCGGCGGGTGTCGACTCAACTGAGCAATTGAAATGCACACCTGACAGATCGAGGCGAGCAGCCAGGAGGAACCACAACATAGTGAGTGGTGGGGTGAGCCATGTATTGTACTNGGGGGGGGGGGGGGGGGGGGGGGAGGCGGATGTTGAGCGGGTGGCCGGGCAACGGTTCCAGCAAAACAATACCAGCACACAAGCAGCAGTGTGCTCTTCTTAGCAACGTGTAGGAATGCATCTACCTGGGAGACATTCGTGGTTCGCAAATTCTGCGCCACGTGCTGTGCCCTACACAACCAGCAGTGTGCTTGCGTCGCAACGCCACACAATATTCTGCACGTTCTGCCCTCGAAACCGCCGGAGCTTCCACTCCAGCCAGTCCGTACGTCCTTGCAACACCCTGAACAACAGAGAGGTGTCACTTACGCCTGGGTACTTCGAACAGGTTTCCAAACACCGTGTGGATTTCATGAGCGACAAGCTGGAACAGACCCAGCTGCTTCACGAAGAAAACGATACGTTCCTGCCGACGCTTACTGGAAACCACCCCACCAGTCGAACAATCACCTGAAAACTCCTGCTCAAGAGCTACTAGCAAGTCAATTTCCTATCAACAAAAAACTTCGAGGNGGGGGGGGGGGGGGGGGGGGGGGGGGGGGGGGGGGGGGGGACTCGCGGCTATTTCCGACTAACCTGCACGAGGACCGCCGGCGAATGGCTGGTGAAGCACAAGAGCACCAGGGGGGGTATCCCTCCTGCCAGCCCCAGAGCGCGCTGGCACGCCTCGTGGTGCGCCATCTGTGACAGGGCCAGGACTGCCGGTCCGGTCACCTTGTGTTTTGTTTTCGTGTGTCGGACGAGCAATAGGGGTACAGGATGATTCAAGTTTGTAACAAGAGGATAGCTTTGATGATGATGATGCTGCTGGTCCTGCTGGTTGCTGCTGCTGCTGCTGTTGCTACTGCTGCCGTAATTGTTGTCGGCGTTGATGGCCGTGCTCTGGCGGGTCTCTGCTCCTCGTGCGCTGTTGGCGAAAGAGTCAGAACCTCCACCCCACCGACGTTTCCCGCGTTCTCGCACTCGACCTTTTGAGGGGGTGACATTCTTCGTGTTGCACATGGAAGAAATGCCTCCCAGCTATGCGAAACGAAGACAAATGTACCGTGTCTTCTTCGTCTCTTGACACCTGAGCTTGGTTTATGCGTATGAGTTATAGCGGTTGGCAGCACGGCTATGGCCCATTGCCCGGGGGGCCGCCTTCGTTTAGGTTGAAAGCTCACAAGTTCGTTCGGATTGGTCAGCATCCCCACCAAGAACGCCGGGGCTCCCGCCTTCAGCATCACCTCCGGCTCCGTTCTGCTCGAGGCCATGGCCATGTTCAGAGCGAACCTCGCGAACGTAAAGTCCATCGATGACAACCGAGGCTCGCTGGACGCGCCAACCAGAAACCTGAAAGATTGCATTTTTTTGGTTTCACACACCGCACGCGTTTGTTTCCCGCACGCATATCCATAACAGAGGAGATTCGAACGCGTGGGGGGGGGGAG